ATTGTCAGGCCTTTCTTCCTAGTCTGTTTTTGTCTGGAAGCGCCACTGAAACTTGTCAACCATGGGTGACCCTGCTGGTATTTGAAATACTGGCGGCATAGCTTCCAGCATCATAGCAACATGCAAGCCACTGCAGTACAACAAACTGACTGACAGTGGTGGAAATGCTAAGTAGGGGAGTTAAATTTTATCCACATAAGTGGCCTCTCCTGCTAGCATCAGTTTTACTACTTCTAATTAGGTTTTCTTGGGCTTTGGTCGGTCAAGTCAGGAATCAGGGTGTTAGCTCTCTCCGTTTTCCATGCTTACAGCAATTTGTCCACCTGCTGGTATGTTAAGTGAGAGAGACAGAAAATGGCTTATTGAACACAGAAACTCTGTCTATAGGAGCTGAAGCCCTCAATTTTCCCAAGAGCTCTAAATTCTCCAATATTTCTCCCATATTTAAGCAAGAGACAGAGTTTAACCCTGTTTAAAATGTTCATTTCACAGAAAAAAGGCAGAAAAGAGCTAGTTAATACCAGGTCCAAAATGAAATTAATCGCTTCTGGAAATCACAGAAATGATTGAAACCTTTAAATAATGACGAAGTTTGAATGGCTAAGGAAGGGCTTGTCAAATGCCCTAACGTTCCACAAGAGGGCAGCAGTGCTACAATTTACAAAGGCTTGCGTGCTGCCAGTGGATCCTGACTCACAGTGACACTATAGGACAGAATAGAACTGACCCAGAGTTTTCTAGGCTGTAATCTTTATGGGAGCAGATCTCAGGTCCTTTCTCCTTCCGAGCTCCTGGTGGGTTCAAACTGCTGACCTTTTAGTAGTCGAGTGCTTAACCATTGCACCACCAGGGCCCCTCTACAAAGGCTTACCACTTCATTCTATCAGTGTAACCTTCTCTGGATGAGCCTAGAAATTCTAATGAAAGCTATGTAGTTTAGAAGAAAATATACTTGTATGTAGTCACTCAGTTTTGCCGTTTGTGAAAGTCAGTAGGCTAAGTTAAATCCAGCTCTTGAGTTCAAATGTGCAAATTCTTAAAATATGCAAAACTTCATTTTTGGTTAAAATGTTAGCCATCAGGCATTACACAATTTTAGACTGTCATAGAGTTGCGTAGTTCCTTTAACCTTGGAATCCACTTTAACTGTGACAACTCAAATTTCTGCTTCAGCATTCTTGCAGAAGCCATACTGGTAGTCACCTTAAAAGCTCGCCCTGTATATTTCATGCCAATTTAAAAAATACACTGTAGTCTCAAGTTAAAGTCAAATAAAATTTGCTAAAAATCCTTTCCTTATTCCAAGTTAACCTAATTTTCATCTAGCGTTGATATGAAACCGAAAGATTGTTTCTTTTTTAAGCTATAAAGTATGTTCGGATAGCCAGGCACCAAGACCTTAAGTCTTAGAAATTTCCTGATTTCTTCAGTAGGCTGAAATAAAACACTATTTTCTTTTGTAAATATGAGCTTTTATCTTCTATCTTTATGAGTTTATATGTAGAAAGTGACTATGGTCCTTGAGAATCACCGATGCAGAGGTTCTCAGCCTTAGCTGCACATTAGATCACTTGGGAAGCTTTAAAAACCTCCCTGCCCAGGCCACATAGGAGACATCTCTGGGGGTGGGGCCCAGGCATCAGTAAAGCTTCCCAAGTGGTTCCAATGTTCAGCTGTGGTTGAGAAACACAGACCTGATTTGAGAGATTTAGTGTCTGATTTAATTAAAATCTGCAGAGAGACCAAGAATTTTTTTTTTTTTTTTTTGTATAAATCCCATGATTTGTTACATGAATCAAGGTTTATACTTTAATTGTTGGGACTTAGATTTTTATTTACTTAGCTCTACCTGTGCATTAATGTGGGAGATACATGTTCTACCTGACACATGTCTACAGATACTTAAATGTAGCTTTAACTCAAAGTTAGGTAATCATAAAGGCTGTAAGAGCTGGGTATAAATCAAGACAAGCTTCGTGGAATGGGTAAAATTTGAGCTGGGCCTTGAAAGATGCACAGGATATGGGCAGGCCAACAGGTGTTTCGGGCAATAGTGGACCAGGAATATAGAAACCAACGCAGGGCACATGATCTGGCTTCACTGAGGGCAGGTTATCTGAAGAGGTATAGCAGAAAGACTGGGAAGAGAAGCTGGGAATTATAGAAGTTACTGAAGTATCACGCTAAGAAATGTGGACTTTATCCTGTAGGTAACTTTTGAGCAGGAGAGACACATGATGGTTGGTAGTGGAAAAGCGTGGAGATCCTTGTGGGTGTGAGCTACAAGGGGCAGGAGGAGGTGGGATGGAATGCTTGGAGAAGATGGCCCCAACTGGAGACATGCTCTCACGTGAGCTCAAACACACACGTACTGGGAAGAAATACACCGTCTCAAACAAAGCCTCTCCAAACATACAATTTTTATTTTTTAATTTTTATCAAATTTGAAGAGCCAGTTTTAAAAAGTGAACAATAAAGGCCCCAACGCCTGGGACTTCTCATTTCACTGCAGATACAGTTCTGCAGTTTTTTCTCCAGTCAATATTTTTGTGAAAATACATAACACCAAAACATTCACCAATTTAACAATTTCTACATATAGAATTCAGTGACATTAATTACATTTTTCATATTGTGCAACCATTACCACCAAACTTTTCAGAGTTACTCTACCGCCATTAACATAAACTCACTGCTCCCTCAGCACAAACTCCCCCTTGTCCCCTCCCACCTGCCCCTGGTACAACTAATAATCTGTTTTCTATATATTTGCTTATCTCATAAGTGAAAATCATACAGTATTTGTCCTTTTGCAACTGACTTATTTCACTACAGCTGACTTATTTCACTCAACATGTTGTCAAGGTTCATCCATGTTGTGGCATGTATCAGGACTTCATTTCTCTTTCTAGCTGAGTAAGATTCCATGGTAGGTATGCACCACGTCTTATCTATCATCTGTTGATGGGCATTTCGGTGGTTTCCACCTTTTCGCTGTTGTGAAAAGTGCTGTAATGAGCACTCGTGTGTAGTCTTTTATTTTTTAATTCAAATATGTTTCCTTCCCTATTATTTAAGCAAACATCTGTATGTAAATAAATGTTTTCTCCAATATATACTGACAGATTTTTACAAACAAAACACATTCACACATACATGAAGCAGAAACTTCTATAAAAGTTCATTTATTTTGCTAATAAAAACATTTGGTTGAAAAATACATCAACTAGGTTTAAAAAAAAAGAAATAGCACAGCCATTCCTTGCTTCAAGCAATCACCACATTCTTGAAAAGCACGTGCAGATAGGTACAGTACCACTTCAGCTATGAACTAAATTCAGGACTCCTGTCTACTTCTGCTCAAACTCTTCCTTCCTGATACCACCTCAGCAGAGATTACAGAGGGAAGGAAAACATACGAGCATCATAAACATGTCTTTACAGAGTAAAACAATATTTATTCTGATCTACACTTCTGATTCCCTAATCATATCTTTCTCAAGGCAACATTTCTTTGGCCCACTTTGTGCTGCAACATATAAAAGTTTAAAACAAAATTTTAAAGAATGTAACTTGAATTAGAGTGTCGCTTCTCTTTGCACACTGACTTGTTTGAAAGACAGTTTTCCTGAGTACTGAGGACTCAGCAGAGGGCCTAGACCCATTCTACCTAAGCATGAAGTGCTACCTGAGTTGGGTTCACTTTTTTGTCCCTAGTACAGCCAACAGCAAATGCACTAAGTTTCTTTGTTTGAAACACATGGCTTAATTTTTACTCTTCTTTAGGAGATGAGGGGAGATGTATACAAAGGCAAGAGGGTTCTACCAGCAAGGACAATGTAAATGGACTAGGATCCCGGTTACCTGATGAATTTATTCCCTATAAAAGTGCCTACTTTTTTGATAAGTATGGCATCTCTGGATAGAAGGAGGGAAAGAAAACCATCTATAGCCAGAGTGTAGAGTGGATTAATGTCTTAGTTATCTAGTGCTGCTATAACAGAAATACCACAAGTGGATGGCTTTAACAAATTTATTTTCTCACAGTTCAGCAGTCTGAATTCAGGGCGCCGGCTGAAAGAAAGGCTTTCTGTCAGCTTTGGAGGAAGGTCCTTGTCTCTTCTGAACTTCTGCTCCTGGGCAGTCTTCATGTGGCTTGACATCTCTTTCCTGTGTTTGCTTTGCTTACTTGTTTAATCTCTTTTATATCTCAAAAGAAACTGACTCAAAATACAACCTACAAAATCCTGTCTCATTAACGTAACAAAGACAACCCATCCCCAAATGGGATTATAACCACAGGTATAGAGGTTAGGATTTACCACACATATACTGGGGGGACATAATATAACACTCACTATATGGAATTCTCTAAGAAAACTGCCAAGACCACAGTGTTTGCTTTGTCCCATGAACTGCCATTCCTGGCCGGGGTGTTAGGGCCTTCTAACTTTTTACAGAAGTGTGCAATTCTGAATTCTTACTAGTTTCTTAGGACAAGTTTATTGAATTTTACCCTACTAACTTGTCCAAATTCCCAATTTTCAGTGTTCTTGTTTTTAATGTTTAAGAGCTGAAGTCAAGAAGTCAAAGGATATATTGCATTAGGCAAATATGCTGCAGAAGACCTCTTTAAAAGTGTTAAAAAGCAAAGATGTCACTTTGAGGACTACGGTGTGTCTGACCCAAGCCATGGTATTTTCAGTTGTCTCAAATGCTTGTGAAAGCTGGACAATAAATAAGGAAGACCGAAGAACAACTGATGCCCCTGAATTATGGTGTTGGCGAAGAATATTGAATACACCATGGACTGCCAGAAGAACAAACAAATCTGTCTTGGGAGAAGTACAGCCGGAATGATCCTTAGAAGTGAGGATGGTGAAACTTCGTCTCTTATACTTTGGACACGTTACCAGGAAGGACCAGTCCCTGGAGAAGGACATCATGCTTGGTAAAGTACAGGGTCAGTGAAAAAGAGGAAGACCCTCAATGACATGGACTGACACAGTGGCTGCAACAACGGGCTCAAACATAGCAATGACTGTGAGGATGGCACAGGGGTGGGCAGTGTTTCTTTCTATTGTACGTAGGGTTGCTGTGAGATGGCACTTAACAATAAGAGCTGAAGTAGTATATGCATATCTGCAAAGTTTTTTTTTACAATAAACAATAAAATACATGTTAAAACTGTTGAAAGAATGAATCTTAAGCACTGGCATGAATCTTTGAACAAAAATTTCAAAACCATTTTATCCACAAATGAAATATACAGTTGTGTTTTGTACCGTCCACAATACGTTATGTGAAATAGGACACTGTGATTTGGATGTTGTGCAAACACCATATTATATACTTAGCAAAGCTATATAGGATACTGTAGTACACCTGGCAGTGCCATCGCTTTGTATACAAGAGACATGAGATATATGTATTGCGTGTGGGAAGCTGCTGCGTTTGCTGCGTCCGGTTACGTCCGCTATGTCCCATTCTTTAATCGGGATTTCTGAACTCTGTTATAACCTTATGGGACCACGGACATATATGTGGCCAGACATTGCCCGAGTGGATGTGGCGCATCACTGTTGCTTCATTTTGAACGGTATTTGTCTAATTGGGAGACTTCTATAAATCTTTTTCCCATTCTAATACTACTAAGGATACTGTATTGACTTTGACTTACCATGAAATAGAAGTGTTATTTAAGCAGACACAGGTAAGATGTTCGTCCCCAAGTTCATGCATGTTCCAAAGCAGCATCAGAGAATGGTGACTAGATTCAAGCCTTATTCAGATGCTAACATCATGACTTAACAGTAGGACTCAAGAAACTACAGGATATGCTTTGTAGGTCTTAATATTGTAACAGAATCAAAAGATAAAATGATGCACCAGTTTGTAGAATCCATTTAGCTCTCCGGCTCTGCTGGACTGGCTGATGTATCCTTGTAAGTGCTGTATTCAGCTGTAACCTCTGTTTTCCTACAAGGCAAGGTACAAAGACAGCATTAAAGAGAAACATAATTAAGTACAGAAACGAAGTTCCAGAAGCCCATTATCTTAGAATTATCTTAGATAATGGGCAATTAAAAAATGATGCTTATACTAAGAGTCCCCAAAATGGGAAAATAAATGATTCTTAAAAATACTTCCAAATGTTCAACTAGTCTCACTCTCTAGGAACTCTTCTTCTATCACTGTATTACACTTACGTTTCCCTCCAAAACAAGAACGAGAGCAGTTGTATACACAGTACTTAGTTATTTCCCCATTTTGATTTCAGGCCAATGGGAAAGACTAGAGAGAGAAACATATCTTCCTAATAATGCAATTTTAAATCTGTGGCTCTAAGCAAAATTTTTTAAAGTAGCGATTCTAACAGTATTCAAGTGCAATAATGCCTCATTTATCCCCCATTGTTGAGGGAATTGTACATATATTCCAGGTAAGAGATTATCTTAAATAACTAAAGTTTACATCATACTTATAACAATAGACATCTTTCTAAAATCTATTATTCTAGTGCAATGCTGGCCAACAGAAATAAAATGAATTACATATGTAGTTTTAAATTTTCTAGAAGTCACATAAAAAAAAGTAAAACAGGCAAAATTAATTTCAATAATATATTTTATTTAACCCAATCTAACCAAAATATCACTCTGGCAGTTATTTTACATGCTTTCATACCAAGCCTAAGAAATCTGGTATGTATTTTACACTTAAACAGCGCATCTCAAATTGGACTAGCCACTTCTGAAGTCCTCAGGAGCCACACATGGCTATTGGCCATTGTATTGGACAGGGCAGTTCTCATCCCTGCCTTCGTAAACCAACTACAATAGACAGACTAACACTCAACTTGGACTAGCCAATTGTTTACCAGTATGTTTGCCATTGCAAACACTTCAGGGATGCCGATTCAATGGAACAGCTAACCGTGTTAATTTTGAACATTTTGATATTTCTCTTTGTGGGGAAGGCTATCATTATGAACTTCCACTGTCACAGTGCTACGCTTGTGTTATAGCAATTTCCTAAGAACTTTAGTGGTGAGTAGGAGAGGAGGTGGCTCAATGGTTAAGTGCTTGACTACTAACAGAAAGGTCAGTGGTTTGAACCCACCAGCTGCTCTGCAGCAGAAAAGATATGGTGATCTGCTCCCATAAAGATTACAGCCTAGGAAAGCCTATGGGGCAGTTCTAATCTGTCCTGTAGGGTCACTATAAATCAGAATCAACTTGACAGCAAACAAAAACAACATATTGGTGAGTGACTTAACAGCTTGGCCTATCACCGGATTCTCCACGACCGCGGGACTTTTCCAGGTCAATACTTTTTTTTCCCTGTCGTTGTGCAATCTTTTTCTATAAATACAGTCTTACACAGAAATCTAATATATGAAAAAGCATTAATATACATTTAAAGAAACATGCCTTTCACATAACAAAGCTATTTTGAAGATGATATAATCTGAACCTGAATTACTAATTACACTTATTTGATATTAACTTCACCATTCATTAAATTAACTTCAAATATTTGCAGACCTCTGAAGCGCAGAGACAGTCTAAAAACTACTTTTTTCATTGGCTACAGCATCCAAGGTATCCTAAGGGGCTAAGAAGATATATAGGACAGGGTAGGCCCAGACTGCCAATTCTAGTTGGTATGTTTTGTCTTCCCCTTTGCCCCTGTGATCAAAGACACCACTTTGCTTTTACCAGGAAATTGCCCTTCCCATTGGCTACTGTAGATCCTGCTCCAAACTCCTGATGATCACTTCACATTTATAAGGAGCTGGCTACATTATCTCCCTCTCTTCCCAGCTATGGCACACATACATTCAACACAAATGGAGGAACACTGCTAATTTATTTCAATTCAAAGACAGAAGGTGGATGGGGTCAAAGGGCTTAAGGTAATACAAATTACAATTTTTCAAACTCGGAGGATATTTTTGTTTTTCTTTAACATGCTGAAAATATTCTGGTCAAGGGAACCAGATAAATGCCTTCGTAGAGTTAGTTAGAAGTTTCAATTGAATAAATTTATAAAATTAAGTATAGTATATTTTGGCTTCTGTAGGTGGGGTCCTCCCCACCCCCCACAATGATTCTTTGATGATTTCCTACTGGGCTTGCTTTTGGATTCATGGCTGCTCTAGAAGGTAGAGGAAACTAGACAGTCTGATAAAAGGAGGAGGCTGACATTGCTCTGTTTAAGCCTATGTCAAAGCAAAAGGCTGTCAGTAAACATTATTTACTTTAAACTTAAAAAAAGAATGGTGTAAGAAGACATTAATTCGGGCCAAGGGAGCAGGAACCTAAGTTTCCTTTTGACGTCCATGGCCAACATCTCTTAGCTCAGGTTATTGCTCTCTAAATACAATAGAATATTTTTCAAAAGAAAGGATCACTGAAAAGAAACAACAGAAATCAGATACCTTTTAATGATAAAACCTTTCATCTATCTTCTTCTCAGAGAGAAATAAATTTTACTTCTCTGTGGCTCTCATCACTTATGTATGTGCTGAACAGAGAGGAAGGGAAAACAGCCAAATAAAATAGTGACATCAAACCAAGAAAGAAGTGAGAGTGGTGTAATTAACGGGATAAAACCAGTTCTAGAGGAGAATGGAAGTAAACCTGAGACCTTAGGTTCATAAATTAAGACTTTCCAATTTGGGGACCTGAAACATGAATTCTGTGCAAAAAGCAACTTTTAAGTTTTACAGATCATCCAAGAGATGAACAGATTCTAAATTTCTGTTCAATGCATCCACCCTTGAAACCATATCGCAAGAGAGTGAATAATGTAAAAATTCTTTCAAAGAATAACAACAGATTGTATGAGGAAAAATGGTCCTGCCGCTAGCTCCCTAGATTTTGAGGGCACACAGAGTATATATTAATGTATTATTGTCTTAGAACTCAACTTTATGACAACTCGTAGATTTTCAGATGCATCCTGACTTTTGCGCTAGTACAGCTTCTTCCCATAGCACACTTGTTTTCAACCTGAGGGAAGACCCTTGTTAACACAGTATTACATAACTCCTATATTTTGGGGATGGATCTAAAATTGTAAATATGTTCTCTAATTACAAAATCTCTTGGTATGTATGATTTTTGTTCAAATTTTTGAAGAACTGTTGAATGCACACGAATTTGAGACTCAAAGCAGAAAAATGTTGAAGTTAAACTGATCCTTAAGTTTCTTTTTTTTTTGCCACGTCATTATACGCCCAACCACCTGAATTGATACTAAATCCCAAAAACTTTTGTTAACATTTAAGCATGAGAGCTTAAAAATCACAAAAGTTACAGGATCAATCAATATTAACATTAAAAATAGATTTAATGTACACCAAATACTAAATAGCCTAAATGGAAAAAAAAAAAAGAAAACTATTTTGTCACAGGTAGTAAAATATATAAATTATGTAAACAATTCTGATTAACTTAGCCAACTCTCATTTATCTAGATATGTATGAATTGACCAGAATACAGAAAATTATGCATTAATGAAAAAAAAGAAACACTACAAATAGTGAAAACATTTATGTAAACAAAAGGCACCTGTTTTTAGAACCACACAGTAATGACATGTAACATGGGGCTCAAGCAGTAAGCACAGGGCAAGGGCTGAGGACTCCAAGATTAGAAAGTATGGCAGAAGAATTCGTCAAGCAAGAAAACTGGAAGGAAAAAAGAAGCAGCACGGAGATGGGACCTGTGTCAGACCAGTGAGGATCCGGTTCTATTCTTAGCTGAGAGCTAAGAAATAGAAACCTTTTTGCCATTTTTCATCAAGTAATTGAAATGATGCTTAATGACCTTTTGGCCATTTTTTATCAAGTAATTTAAATGGTGCTTAATTGTCTTAACAAAGATTGCTGTTGTTAGGTGCCACTGAGTCAATTTTCAACTCATAGCGACCCCATATGACAGAGCAGAACTGCCCTATGGGGTTTTCTTGGCTGTAATCTTAAGGGAAGCAGGTCACCAGGTCTTTCTTCCTTGGAGCCACTGGGTGGCTTCTCACCACCAACCTTTCAGTTAGCAGCTGAGCGCTTAATCTTTGTGCCACCAGGGCTCCTTTAAAAATGGCTACTTATGCTATTTTTTGTACTCTGGGATGAAGGCTGTACAAGGGTAACTGTCTCCCCAAATTATCATAAACACAAGTTTACATCAAATCCATTTTGAACCAAGCTTTAACAGCAATTCGGGGTTATCTACTCTTCTTTCAGAATTACAAGTAACTCCATGTGGGAGAAAGGATTATGGATGTTAAACAATACAAGGAATATAATAGGTATCTTTATTCCTTTAAAAAAACAAACAACAAAAGAAAGCCAAGCATCACCCCACATCTTTTTTTTTTTCTTTTCTTCTAAACATACACACAGATAAGTCTTAAAAAATCCAATGACCTTAAACATGGGAAAATTTGCCAACAGGTTTGATGGCTTTTCGTAAAGCTTCAAGCATATGGGCAGATCAATAATAGTGTACACTCTGGCTACTCAAAGTGTGGTCCACAGCCCAGCAGCATCATTACGGGGGAGCTTATTAGTAAAATGCAGGCTATCAGGCTCTACCCCAGAGCTAACGAATAAGAATCTGCATTTTAACAAGATCCCCAGGTAGTTAATGTGCATATTAAAGTTTGAGAAATACGCTCCAGACAGTAAAGAAGAAAGGCATACCACTCCCTCATTAGAGTAACTTCAGCTATTAAAATAATACAGAACTTAAAGGGTTAAATTGGACTTCAATGTCTTGAAGCCAAACCATGGAGAGACCTTCCATTTTAATTCAGCTATGACACGCTACACTGAATTTCTAATTGAACATGCTCTTGTCATGAAGAAGGCAGCATGTAGCCTGAAAGATGCCAATCCAGTTTATATTTTAGCTCAAAGGCAATTATAAGTTACCTTTCCCACCCCATTTTTTAAAAAAACTTCTCTTTTCTAAGTTGTGGTACTGTATACAGGTTAATTATGTTGCATTTGTTAAAAATATCTTCCCAAAATACTTTAAAATTTGAACACATGCAATTTTTGTTTTCTTTCCAAATAAGATTTGTCGTAAAATATGGGCTTTTTAAAGTTACACAACAAACTATTTTGGAATCTCCGATCACTACTGCTATTGAACCTTCGATTTAGGGTAAAATGCTCAGACAATTGTTCAGCTTCGAAAGACCCATTAACTGTAGCTTGAGAGAGTTCAATTATTCTTTCTAGGGAATCTTTAAATATTTTGATGCAGTCACACTTTCAACAAAAGAAAATGAGCAGAATATCTTCTTTTGTTTTTCTTTAGAAGTTATTTCTACACAAACCTTTTAGACTTGTAAAAAGTATTCCATTGGTAGTATTTCCTACTCATACCATTGGATATATGTAATTTAAAAAATATACTCATAGAGAAATCAAATATACATGTCATATGTTCAATAAATAAAAGATCTGAAGGCATTGTGGGTGTTTAAAAAAAGATGATATGAAAAAAGTGTGAGTTTGAGTACAAACCCAATGATTAATGTAAAAGGAAAATATATCATAAAACATGAACCTCAAATTTCTTAAAATTATTATGTTTGATTTCAAAGTTATTTTCAAAACCACAGAGAAAAAATAAATAAAAATGATTATTCTCTTTCAGACATTCCAAAGCACCTAATCTTGGTCGATGTTCCACAGCTTATTCTAAGTCTTTCATTAAATCATAATTTCATTAAAATTTAAGTTTGATGGTTAAAAACCCTATTTTCCTTAGACCGTATTTATCTGTCAGTTTTTGCTATTCTAAGCCTCATTTTCTCATTTTTATAGATCCAAAGAGAGATAAAAGTAAATTGAGGGACCCTGTCGATCTTACCCCCATCAGCAAACCCCATCAGTTTTACGGCAACCTAGTAAATTAAGAGAACACAAGAGGGAAATCAAATTATGCTGCTTTTACTCCCCCAGCTTCATATGTATAAATAATACCTCTAGATGAAAAGAAATCAAATTGGGTATGTGAATGAGATACCTACATAGTTCTTTACAATTAGCTAAGTTATATAAATGGAAACTTACATCATAAAAATTCACGTGAATACAACTGTCAAAGTCTCCACCGTGAAATATTTTCAATGTAATCTTGGCTACTATTCCACTTGAGGAAGTAGGGTGTGCTTAGGGCACGGAAGGACTCACAGAGGTCCATGATTCGCTGCAGAACTGAAACCTCAAATCCTACAGCAATTTTTCTTACAGTCATAATAGCTGAAGCAACTCTGCACAGACTACTTGTTGCAAAATTAAAAGCGGCTGAAAATGTTTTTGGCAAAGAAATGGAATCCTGAGGGCGCACCAATGCAGGCACCTTTAAAAAAAAGACTGCATGCAACAGAGACGACAAACTGAGGCTGCACGGAAGCCAGCCAAGGGCGACAGGGCCAGTAAGGGAGAAGAGACGGGCTTCCACTTACCCCCTCCTCCTGTGGCCAACGTACTTGTACAGGAAGACGGAAGCTACTATACCTGCCATAACTACAAGAAAACAAATGATACGTCACTCCGAAAACTCGGCACCAAGATTCAAAATCCAGCAGAAGTAAATGTTAGTTACATTTCAGTGGTCAGAAAATATGATTTTATTTAAGCACATATACACTTACATACCCTGTGGACTCTCCACTGTCTAACTACAGTTCCCAGGAATCACTTAAACATTCCAAAGTGAGTCAGAGAGGACTCTCTGCTTAACTTAGAAAATCACCAAAGGCATATTTGGGAAGCTAACTCATATTACTAATCATTGTGAGAAAACATGGTTACTACCACCAAATTAGTAGATCATATGAAAGGTTTTTCTAGACTGGTTTACTGAATCTCAAGCTTTAAAAATGATAAAAACTGAAAAACTATAAAAAACAAATAATGAACTTCTTAGTTAATGGCGATTTTGATTTAAGTGGTATCAAAGTTCAGAATACTTACGGACAGCAACAACAATCACAGCGATGCTGCCTCCATCTGAGGAAAAGAGAAAACACTTTGAAGACATGAAGCATGTATGGGTCTCCAGGGAGCAGCCACATTTTTATTTCTATCACATCATCTGAGAACTACAGCAAAAAAGAATCCATCTCCTAGTTTTAGCTTGACTGCCAGGACATCCAGGTCATTTTGATGACAGAATCCTTCTAACCAGTTTCCAAGTTTAGGGTCCAACCTGTAAAACTCTGGATATGAACCTCACGTTTCATTGTTTTGGGCTGTAGCTACCCCACAGGGTATTTAATAAAGGCCATTAGAACAATCAGAATTCAGTGGATTAGAGGAAAGTAACAATAAAAAAAAAGTATTAATCCCATTATATTTGGTTTAGTTCAGTATTCATTCTATCATTTCTTATGATTTGGTAGGAATTTTAATTTATATTTTCCCCAAAAAGGGATCTGCAGAAAGTCATAAATAAATTTCTATTCATCTATCATAGATACTGTTTTCAGACTCTTCACAAATAATACTTTATCTGACCATCGACCCCCTTCCCACCCCCTACACCCATGTAAATTAAGACACAGTCCTGATTAAGGAGATTCCCTTTAAAAATGTAAATGAAACACAAGAGCATCTGGATATAAATTATGCAGAGAAAGTTAAACATGCATTTTTTACTATTCAGAGATCACTAAATACTAATTCTACAAAATCCTAAATCCTCAGCGTGTTTGTCAGTAGCATGTCTGCCTCTAAACTATTATTAAAACTGCTACAAGTCACACAAGAACTGTCATGTTGACCTCTGACCCTCTCATTTCATAACTTGCCAAGTGTCTAACATTATAAGATGGCACTGGGTTTACTAGCATTAGGACAGTCTGACCATGTGTTCAGAGCTAAAGCATATACTACAAATTAAGCTAGAGTGCATTCTATAAAATGATTATCACTAGTCAAATGAATACAAAGTAATAGATTCTTGTCTTCGTTTACTGATCTAAATCTTTATATTTCATTCAACTTTAACTGTTACTACAATACTGTTATCATTTTCCTTAACATATACTGTGTAAACGGTGTAAGCCTACATAAAGTGTATTACTCCAGACAAAAAACTAACCCAGCATATATCAGTTTAAGGCTCATGCAATTTACTACAAATTGCCATCACAAACTAACACTGCTACATGTAAAGCTGGTTGTGTTTTATGAATTCTAACCTATATCTAACAATAGCATTTAAGAAACCTACCTCACCCTACTACCAGTTTCCGTCGACTCCGACTCCTGGCAACCCCATGTGTGTCAGAATAGAACTGTGCTCCACAGGGTTTTCAATGGCTGATTTTTCAGAAGTAGATTGCCAGGACTTTTCTTCCAAGGCATCTCTTGATGGACTCCAATCTCCAACATTTTGATTAGCAACGGAGTGCTTAACCATTTGTGCCACGCAAAGTCTCACCCTACTAGGAATCCCATGTTGGGGTATGTTTTAATTATCTAGTGCTGATATAACAGAAATACCAAAAGCAGATGGCTTTAACAAACAGAAATTTATTTTCCCACAATTTAGGAGGACAGAAATCTGAATTTGGGGTGTGGCTCTAGGGGAAGGCTTTCTCTCTCTGCCGGCTCTGGAGGAAGGCCCTTGTCTCTCTGAGCTTCTGCTCCTGGGCGATCTTCATGTGGCCTGGCATCTCTCTTCCCCCATCTCTGCTTCCTGGCTTCCTTGTTTAGTCTCTTGTATCTCAAAAGAGATTGATTTAAGACATACCCTACACTAATCCTGTCTTATTAACATAATAAAAGACAACCCAATCTCAAATGGAATTATAACCACAGGCATAAACCAAAAACCTACTGCTGTTGAGTGGATTCCACCTCAAAGCAATATGGTCAGTTTTGAATTGCTGACTTTTTGGTTAGCAGTTGAGCACTTTAACCACTATGCCACCAGACACAGAAGTTAGAATTTACAACACACAGTTTTTTTTTTTTGGTTTACTTTTTTTTTATTGTACTTCAGGTGAAGGCTTACAGAATAAGTAGTTTCTCATGAAACAGTCATATACATATTGTTTTATGACATTGGTTAACAACCCCACAACAAGTCAACCCTGTAACTTCTCAACCTTTTTTTTTTTGGTGAAAATACACATAGCTAAAGATACACCATTTCAAAAATCTCTACGTGCACAGTTCAGGCAACACACAATTTTTTGGGGACACAAAATCAATCCATAACAGGGTACTTTTTAAAAAATTGTAATTACCTAAGTGTTCCTACACATATGACCACTTACATTGTCATGATATCTGAGGTGCAATTATATTACATTTGTGTGTGGCCTGTCTAGCCATGGTCTTGTAACTCCCACCCAGGTGACTATGTGATAGGGTAATTGTGGCCTATGAAGGGGACTGGTCAGTTTTCCCTTAAAAGAGAGCCAATTCCAGAGCAGAGAGGAGGAGCCCACCACCACCAAGGAAGGAGAGACCAGCAGGAGACCCGGCAGCAGGAGACAGCGTGGTGGCCTTCCCGGCCCACGGAGAAAGAAAGCTGAGTGCCTTTGGGGAGAGGCCTAGGGCCAGGGAGAGGCATGCCTGTGAGCACAGCTGCGGAGAGGCTGTCCTGATGGAAGAACTGTATCCTGAGTATTCCTGAGCCTGGACTGTAACCATCACTTCCCTTATAATAAACCCCATAATCTTGAGTATGGACTGTGACTTGTGTGTGGCCACCGCAACAAATTACTGAACCCAGGAGAAAGTGCTGTGTGAGGGACAGCTGGTGACAATAATGATGGCAGAGAGGGGAGGCTTGTCTGGCCTCTGCCTCGTGGGAATCAGTCTTGGGCTGTTGATCTTGATTCTCCTTTCCCCTAGTGAAGTTAGTTACAGGAGGTCAGACATCGTTCTCAAGCCGTTTTTCACAGTATCTTGCACTTCTTAAATTAACTCTATAATTAATGTTATCATCATTTGTGACACATGGTTTCTCCTTTAACTGTAGATGATTACAGACTTTATTAGTTCTATGTGAAACTCTAAGGTTTCATAATGCAGGATTATTAATAACCAAAATAATAACCAAACCTAGAACGCCTGAAATTGGTGGCTGTTTAGTGGAAGGAGAATATCCTAGAAAAAAAGAAAAACAGATTAAGTAAAAAATAAATCTGAATCAACTCAACAGCAACTATGAATAACAACAATAGATTATAGTATTATATCAATATTAATTTCTTGATTCTAATAATTATACTGTAATTATGTAAGTAAGTATCCTGTTTTTACAAAATAAACCTGAAATATTTAGGGGTAAACGTGCACTGTATCAACTTCATCTCAAATGGCTTAGAAGAAATGAACAAAGATATAGAGAGAAATGAGAAAGTAAATGTGATAAAATGTCAACATGTGGGGAATTCTTTGTACTACTGTAACTTTTCTCTAAGTGTAAATTTGAAACTACATGAAGTTAAAAGAAAAACAAATAAAGCTTCAAAACTTAAATTCACAGACTTTCATTTTTCATCATTGTAAAAAGAAAAACTTGATAATTTATTTTCCTTATAAATTATATTATGGTTTCTTATTAAAAGCAGTATCATAAACTTTTATAAATTTATATTGAATGCCATTAGCTTTCTTCTCCCTGCCCACTAACATTTCCTCTGAGGACATTCTGTGGTACAGTTAAGTGAATTTATCACTACAGGTTTTGCCAGCTATCCAAAAGTACAGCATTCCTATGAAATCTTTTTAAGCTGAAGTGGTGTAAAGCGAAGTAATTACCATTAATTTATACGGGAAAAATTTTTTAGCATTCCCAGACCCAAAAAATAACCTACCAGTCATAACAAATAACACATAAAACTGGGGCAAGAGCTGTGGAGGATGGTCCCTGCAGGGCAAGCCACCCGGGACTATGGAGCATTGGGCTGTGGGGAGAGCAGTGGCAGCCGCCACTGCCTCCCTGACGCTGTCGGAGGAGGAGGAGGGGGCAGCAGAGGAAGGTGAGGAGAAGAAGGGGAGGGCTGCTGGGCTTCCTGACCAGCCTACCCCTGGACCTGCTACCCCCTTCAGGCAAGCTGCAATTTGAGTTCCCAGACTACTCACTCCTGAGGTTACTGAGATGATCAGGGGGACTGGCGCCCATCTAGCATCGCAGACCTGGTTTTCACCTACTAAGCCCACTGTCAGCAGGGGTGCACATGCCCCCAAACCAGCTATTTACATACAGGAATGCTATTTTAGCCTTTTTTCTTAAAAGCAAAATTCCTTTTTGGGTTTCTTTTGGTTAGGAAAAACAGGTACTAATGTACCTCTTTTGTAAAAGTGAACTGGCTTAAGGAGAACTTCCAGATAGCAGGGGAAATCTGTATTATATTCCCAAAATTAGTCTACGAAATTAATGTGATGCTAGGTCACCATGAGTAGGAGTGTACGCCATGGCAACTGGTACTGGCAATTAAGATATAAAGAAGAGGGTTTAATAAATGATTTAAAAGTTGATCTGAAATTAACATGAGATTAGCCTAGAAATTTCTGAAAATAAAATGTTCTGTCAGATATTAACACATATATTACTACAGTAACTAAAAATGCTTGCTGCTGGCACAGGACTGGACAGAGTTCAAAGGAACAGAAAGGAGGCTAGAACACCTATGCATTTAATGTATAAGAAGTGGCACTTCACAGCAGTGGAAGAGGAGACAACAAATGGTGCTGCTCAGCACCCAATGGGGGCAGGTGGGGAGGAACCCCATCTCATTCCACATACTGTAATGAATTTCAGATGTACCAATGATTTAAATGCAAAGAACACACGAGTAACATCTTCGCATAACTTCAGCAAAGGGAAGACTTCAAGCTTTTATAAGAAAAACACAAAACTCATAGACATTAAGGAAAGGATCAATATATCCAACTACCTAATACTGTAAAGCTTCTCCATACATAAATGATCACTGATAAGAGAATAGTTAAATAAAATATGCTATATATTCATGTCATCACTAAAAAGGATAAGAATACATCTAAACATACCCATAATCCAGGACATTAAGTAGAAAAAGTGCAAGTCACAGAAAAAATAAGTATATCATGTCATTTTTGTTTTTAAAAAAAACAACTCCAAACTATGTGTATAACTACACATAATAAGGATGCTAATGTTCAGAAACAGATAAAAGGAAAGCCTAAACTATTAACAGTGATTAATTCAAGTAATACACTAGGAGAACTAATCTTTTACTCTGTATACTTTTGTAATGTTTGAAATTTAACAAAAATGTGTTTGTAGGACTTCCAGCAAAATGGCGCTCTAGGCAGAAGCACCACGCCGTCCCTTCACAACAAAGATCTGAAAAACTAAGCCGAACAGAGAAAACAACAATCCTGAAACCCTAAAACATCAAATGAAGAGATAAAGAACTCAGCCAAGCACCAAATGGAGTGAGAAAACTGACAGAGAACGGAGAACTAGAAGAGATTCATGCAGAGGTTCCCTACCAGCTAACGCAGCGCGGATCCGCCATCTTGGACTCCTACAGGAGACCAGCAAACAGGAGGTACGAGAAAGCAGCTTCACAGAGCTTCCAGGGGAGACAAAACAACCGGTAATTTGAGATATGTGCTTTCCCACCCCACACCCTTCTTCACCCCCACTTGGCCTCCTCTGCTTCCCGCGGCCACAATCTCTCGTCTGGGAAACACACCGGCTGCTTGAATTCCACACCCGAATGGGCCGGTTCTCTGAGTGCCATTTGTTGGCTGCTGGTGTTGCTTTTTTCCACATCTTTTGATTTCTTCCTTACCTCTTGCCACCTCCCCCTCCTATTGCTCAAATACCTGGCTCCGTGCGCCACCTTTGCTTCTTCCTGAGGGGCTGTGGAGCTCCGTTCGAGTGTGGAGCTGCTTCCCAGTCTGGGCTGTCACGCTGGTGGGATCCCGGGGCTTTTGTTCGTCGGTTTGTTTTGAATTGTTTGTTTTCTTTTCCTTTTCTTGAGTTGGGAGCCCTTTCAAAGGCCAGGCGGTGCTGCGTGGCAAGGAAACTACCCCCTTGGCTTGCACAGATGTGCAGAGGGATCCCTGAGAGCATTTCTTTTTTCATTGGTTCTTTTGCCATTTTTTGGGGGGCTTTTCTTGTACTTTTTTTTTTTTTTTAATTTGTTTTGTTTTCTTTTCACTCTTTTTCCTTTTTGTCTTTCTTCATTATTCAGTTTCTCGTCTCTCTATATCTTCCTTCTCTTTCTGTTCCCTGAATACCTGGCATTGTATATAACTCTACGCCTTCTAAACTGGCTGTACTGCAACACCTGACAGTGACTTCCCCAGACCTCATAGCCGCACCGGTGGGATCCCTGGGAACTGTGCGGTTATTTAACCTTTCTGATTTTTATTTATTCATTCTTTTTTTTTCTTCCTCTTCCCCTTTCTGTTTTTATCCATTTCTTAGTCTCTCATCTCTCCACTCCAATGGCAAGCTCCCCTAGCACTCTTTTTTGATTGTAAGTTTTTGGCTTCTGTTCCTCTCTCCTCTCTCCCATATCCATCTTAGCTCCACACATAACAATCTCCCCACTATATCCTGCCTACCTGCACTGTGCACTTAACGTCACACCACAAAGCAGCACAGGCACGGCTTACTGAAACCTGCCCTGCACTGATTACCGACCCGCCCAGGTGGCTGTAGTAAGTGCCACAAAAAACCAGTCCCAGTAACGCCTCTTCAGCTAGACCTGCCCTGCTGTACCATATCTGAGTGACTGACCCTGCCAATTGGAGAAGGAGGTGAAAAGAATTGTGCCCACAGACAAGCAAACAACAAAGAACACACAGTCCGCCTGCTCAGACATACTCAAATTTTTTAAAAAAAGGAACGAAACAAACAAATCTATAATCAATAAATGAGAAAAATAACAACTGACTGCCCCGAACACAACAGACAATATCAAAACATTTACCAAAACAGGACAGGATGGTTCCAGTAGGCGTCCAAAATAAAACACCAGATGACTTTCCAGTGGAAGAAAAGGCACTAGAACTACCAGATAGGGAATTCAAGTCTCTAATACTCAGAATTCTCTAAGAGCTGAGGCAAAAAGCTGACAAACATGCGGAAAAAATAGAAAAATTCATGGAAAATACAGACAAAAAATTGGAAGAATTCAGGAAAATAAGGCAGGAACAAAATGCCAAAATAAATTCACAACTAGAAATTGTACAAAGACAACACTTAGAAATCCAAAAGATAAACAACAAGATTTCAGAAATGGACGGTGTCGAAGGGCTGAGAAGCAGATTTGAAACGGTGGAAGACAGGATGAGTGGAATTGAAGACAAACACTTGGATACAACTCTGTTT